GTCATTTAGACTTTTTTAGAGGGTCAAAACGACCCTTTGAAAGAGTAACATTGTGACCCTTTGAAGAGCCAAAATAACTCTTTGTGAGGGGTAGAAACGACCCTTCCGAGGAGTAGCCTCCGAAGGGGCTAAAATGACCCTTTTGAAGGGGTCGTCTTGGGGTCAAAAAAACGACCCTTTTGAAGGGGTCGAAACGACTCCTTCGAATTTACAGTGTATTTATTGTGTTTAATGCATTCGGCATGGCAGTAGCGCGACGTTTGAACTAGGCCTTAAGGCCTTATTTGCGTACTTTGGTGTTATCATGCTTTAACGTGATTGCATGTGCCAAGGGTTCAAGGTTTTAAGAAGTTTAATGATTTTTAGATCGACCCTTTCATAGCGCTAAAACGACCCTTTTAAGGATCTAAAACGACCCCATGAAAGGGCTTTTATACTCTTTGAAGGGGTAAAAACGACCCCTTATAAAAAACTACCCTTCGCAATGACTCCAAAATAGGAGCTGAAATGACTCCGCCGAAGACCTAGAATGACCCCTAGAAAGGGTCATATAGACTTTGTTAGAGGGTCAAAACGCCCTTTGAAAGAGTAACATTGTGACCCTTTGAAGAGCCAAAATAACTCTTTGTGAGGGGTAGAAATGACCCTTCCGAGGAGTAGCCTCCGAAGGGGCTAAAACGACCCTTTTGAAGGGGTCGTCTTGGGGTAAAAAAAACGACCCTTTTGAAGGGTCGAAACGACTCCTTCGAATTTACAGTGTAGCCGCCATTTTGCAAATTTCAGTTTTGTTATATTCACCTCAGTGTAGGTGAACATAACGTTACCAGCCTAGCTAAATACGTCAAATTTGACCAATCAACTTGTAGGATTTGTTCAGATATTCATTTATCAAATTACTATAAATAATTAAATGCAGTTATTTGTAATATATTTATTGTAATAGTAGAAATTTAATGCCAATTAAATCGTTATTAATATTATATTATTAGGTCATCGTCTCAAGAAATGTGTTATGTATGAAACTCAAGTTAGCAGTTTATTACAATGTTCTCAAATGTGTTTGAATCAACGACCGCAATGTCGATCCATTAATTTTGAGAAAAAGAATACTCGATCTAGATGCCAAATGAATAACCAAACAAGAGCAACCAAGGCTGATGAACTGGTGCTAGACAAAGTTTTCAACTACTATGAACCAATTCCAGTAAGATATTTATATTGATAGATTCGTTGCAGTGCATGACGGTATGCACTGTAAAAATGACGTAACTGGCGCCCGGCACTTCACTATTATGTGAATTAGACATTGGTCTAGCCAGATTTGTTGTTTGTAAAAGTCTAATAAAGCCCGAAGCGTAAAGCTTGGCTGAATTGTCCAAAATGAGTAATAATAATATGATTACCTATTCACTGACTATAATATTTTAATACTACTGTATAATTAACCAGCTGACAGACAATACATCTTATTGGGTTAAAAGTGGGTTAAAAGTGGCTTGAAATGAAACAAATTAAAATGCAATCATGTTTGTTGCCTTTCTTTCACGATTGACACTGATTGCATGACAGCCATGATTATGACCTTGTTTCCATTTTCAGCAAAATCCCAAGACGTAGCTATACGCTTTGCCATCCCCTTTAATTTCGTTTCTTTTCTCTTCGTTTCTCGAGGCTTTCTGAACGTTTATCTTTCACCATTCGGCATTTTCGTTTTAAAATGTCATTCTATTAAATATTGGCAAAAATGACAAATCATACATGACGAATTAGTTTGCTTGCTCAATTATATGTAAACGCTATTCATATTAATTTCATTGTTTTCTGTAATAATTTGATACTTGAAAATGAGGTCAAGATGACTTCGAAACGTCGTTCTTCAATAAATTTGTTATCGCTATCATATTTATCTGAATCTATATCAAAGTTTATTGATAAAAATTTCTTATATAGAAAATTCTATTTGTGTGAAAGTATAAAGCTTGAAGAAATTTTTAAAATTGGTAATTAAACTTGTGACGTGTATAAGAGAAATCTTTATCTTAGCCAATCATGAGCTTGATAGATACCAGTCCAATCTCGCTTTGACCTCGCGAACGCGCATCACGGCGAAAACCGGCCAACGTCAATGACATAGTGGGGAATGACACGGTGTAAATAGCCAAGTGGAATTAGTAGAACCCTTGCCCCAGGCTTACACCCAGGACGGCGCTTCGCGCTATTGGCTCTGGGATTATAATAGAACACAAAATAATCAGTTTCCCTTCTTACCAACAGGTTCGAAGTACGCTCTATTCAAGTCCATCAGCTGTGAACATCGTATTTGAAGGTGATAATTATTTGCTCGTTGTTCATAAGAATGTAATATTTTGTGTTTTTAAGTCAGAATGCCGGATCATAAATACACTGTGTAGGAAACTCTTGATCACGCATGGTGTTTTTGCCTGGTTTTCAGGCTACTGATGTCGGCCGTCTCAATCTAAATTGTTGAAAATTAGGGCATCACTATATTCAAAATAGTTCCACGTTTAGCAACTATACAGCTGAACATTTTAATCAAAAAGGATACTAGAAACACAACCATACCACTCTCCCATGGAAAAGCCAAATATTGTTAGTCATTTTCCGGGAACAAATCAATCATCAGTCAGTAAAATACGCGTCACAAAATTCAATTTATATTTGAAGAGCAGTTTAGTGTCAACCTCTTGATTACAAAAGTAAAAAACCTAAAACATGCAAAGACACACAACATTTACCTCGAATACTTTGCTGTGGCACAGGCAGGTTTAAAAGATAATGAAACAATTTTGAAACTCATTGTTGTTACTTGAATGCGAATTCGAAAAACATTGTAAAACCGGGAAGAAAAATGCTGTAAATTTTGCTGTATTGTATTTATGATATTCGCGACATCATTGAATTCGAAGCATTGCATTTTTGGAGCGATAACAAGGACTGTATACAGGAATTTTTTACCAGGGGAGGAATACTGCAGCATGAAATAATTGCCCAGATGTCAATGCATTTAAAGTCATCAGTATCGTTTACATGCACGCTTATTGCTAGTCATACATGCAGAATCACACATTTTGATTCCCAAGATTATATATAAGACTCATTTAGCTCGTATGAGAGCCAGCCTCCATAGCCAGGATGACTCGTAATAATCGTTTAACTGATAAACTCTATAGTGCTACTGGAATGAAACAAAGCTAATTCAACTTTGAAATGTCATTTTCGATGTTTATCAAAGCCATACATGATAAGAGTTTTAACGAATCATCCCGATTTACCAGCTCCAGCTCGGCTCCATACAAACAGCCCCTTTGAACGAACTATATCAGTTTATTTCAAGGTATATACATGGTGAAAAACGTGAGAACTAAACGGTTGATGTTATCACCTGGCAGCACAGTTGTAAAACAAGGATCGGAAGGTGGAACAAGTCTCGGAACAAGAATTCTTGGTTCAGATGGGCACTACTATAATCGCGCTTTTTGGAAAATATTGAATCATGGACAAGGAAGATATTTATTTGAGAACCATGAAACAAGAAGATATCTTTTCTCTGAGGGAGACGAAATACCAGGTGATCGTGGTTGTGAAGGAGGGGCGGCAGAAGCTCCACCTTGTCTTGGATCTGACGCTAATTATGATAATCGTGCTGTTTGGAAGCTCGTGCACCAGGGAGATGGGAAATATCTCATCGAGAGTGTGGGGAATTTTCGATATGTGCTTTCGTATGGTGAGCCGCCTGTTCGCAATGAAGGCGGTTGGGCTGGATCTCCAAAATGTGTTATGGCTGATGGGAACTACGAGAACCGCGCTCTTTGGGAAAGGATTAGGAATTGGTCAATTAGATTTCGACTAAAAATACCTATACATATTCTAGACTAGAAATTACTGTCGCAAGGAAAGTGCTGCCTCACTCCCAAGGGATCAAAGGCAGCACGTTACCATGTTAATACTTCATGTTTGGAAAATAATACAATGGTTTTGTCAGTAAGGCGATGGGTTTTTGCATGCATGTTGTATTCTCTAGTATGTATAATTATAATACTCAGTGTCTGTGGTGAAGCTAGCCATAGCAACAGGTCATGCTATAACATTTTTTAATTATTTGCATTATTTAAATGTGCAGGTTTATTAGCATAGCATGACCAGTTGCCTTCGCTAACTTGCCCCTGAATACTGTATATCATATATAGAAATACTAGTCAGTTTTTGTCCCAATTATCGTTTTAAACGACAAACGGGTACGGGTGTTTTCTGTTTACTATTTTTGGGCCGTTTAAATAGTACAAATTTTCAACATCTTACCCAAATAAATAATGCACATATGCTGGTCAGTATTCAACAATTTATGGCGAACCTCAACAGCGAAAGTTACCATTCACTGATCGGTTTTCTCACGCCGGAGTTCTTGAATTTCTTAAGTTACAAGTTATTCCCCGATTTACGGGTACGGGTACGTGTATATCACCCGTACCCGTAAACCGGAATCGGGGTATCTTAACCTCTCTATTAGTGTGCCTCCTCGCTTCGCTCGGCAGCAATAGTAAGTATCTAAACTCAGGGAACAATTTGTTTGGGACAAGTTGAATGCGTCCAACAATGT